TGTCTGATTATTTAAAATAAGCTTCCCTAAGATAATATGCTCGAAAAGTATCTAATACAGAACATATTCTATTCTTTAGTATTTTTACGGCTGAGTGCTTTTCCGCTCTTACGATCAATAAAAAACGTGGTTATGTCACAATGTAAAAAACATAACAATGGAGGCATAATAAGATAATATCGTGAGTAAACGTAAAGTGTCATAAAAATAAAAGTCCTTTTTATTAAAAATCCGTCTCCGACCTGATTATATCGAATTTCGCCGGTTGACAGTATTCAGGCCAAAATATTACTTTATCGTGCTCCTTACTTCTCTTGATTTATTAAGTGACCTTTTATTAAAACTTAGAAAATAATCTTACTTGTACTTGTATACAGTTCACTTACAAAGCGACCTGAGAATTGTAAAAATACGTGTAGAACTTGCAGAAGTTATGTCGTTAGAGACGAATTCAGTCGAAACTTACCATCTTTTCTCTGCATTTATTATATCAGCAAACTCCGCCTGAAACTTTCTTAATTACTCACGTTAACCAAAAGTTAATGGAAAGTACTTACAATCGAGTTCTAGCAAAGTCACGTATAATAAGTGAAACTTATACACTTTTCAATTACTGGCCTGTAATTTTCTAGGTTTGTTTTCTTTCAGAATACAACATATTTTAATTAAAGTGAACAATTCTAAGTCTTCTAACAAGCTTGTTATTAAACATATTATAAAATTACCCTTTTATAATATCTTAAATAACGATACTGTATTTAAATAAAAACTACGCTGTGTTTTCTAATATTGTTACATTTAGTAATATTGGAAAACAAGTATCACTTAAATAATTTCTATTCATCTAAAACATAATAACTTACGTTATAAATATATTTTTGTTTGTTTTTTTTTAAATTTTTTTATAACATATAGTCCTGTCTGTTAAGCGAATTTCATTGTCATTTTCTATTTTAATCAAATTTCATTGTAATCTAATTACAATTGATACTATGATAATACTTATAAACTATTTTTTTCTATATAATTAAAGAGTCTGATCAAAGTGTAGAAATAACTTAATAGATCCTACATACAGTCCTAAGATTCCTCTTACTAATAACTGTTAGTCATCATACACAGTAAGTACCTAAATGATACGCTCAACTGATAGATAGACAAAATGTTGTGATTTCTTATTTTACAATGCTACCATGTGTAGTAACTACATTGGTTAGTATTATTAAATAAAATATTATTTCTACTTTATTGTTCACATTTCCGTATGTTACGAAATATTCATAAATATATACCTCCTTTAGTTTTTACTTGTATTTGATCACTACTCCAACATAAATAACAAAATGTTGGTTCTAACCTCTTGTACAATAGCGGAAAACAGAAATGTTGAACACTAAGGTCTGTGGACAGGCTTCTCGCAAAGTTTGTAACAAAATATTCTCAGTGAAAGGTAAGACAATTCTTTACTTCAAAATGTTGGCGCTTAATACAAATATCTCCATTTAGAGTATTTGGCGAGAGCCCTGAACCATCTACTTGGGTGTTCAAGTTGTTAAAAAGTGAATAAATTCCATTAACGGAGTTTGTCACTTAGCCCCAGGTGAACCTTCTCCTTTAAAGGCACTTATTCTAAGTATTAAAAAAGGTAAGTGGCAGATAACATAACATTTATTTAAGTCTCCGTTTAACTAGATATTTAAAAACTCAAGTATCATCAAGTATTCTCAAACACACGTATAGTTTTTTACGATTTAACACGTTATCCAACCGTTTGATTTTGAAGAGGCATTTGCGTGGACACAGCACATCATGCTCTCAATTTTTACGCATTCACTTTGATAGATTGTAATCTATCGTATCACGTTAAATACCGGAGTGGTTCACAGTATGCCGATGATAATTATTTAGAAGCTTGCTAGATAGTCAGTTTTAATCCCGTTATTGTTGTGACATAAAATGTGGGATTTAAATTGATTAACGATAACATTGAGTGAGCGGGAGTCGGGACTAACAAGGCGAGTGTAATCCATTAACTAATTAAGCAAACTCAACCACCTGACACATACATGATTTATTTTAAGGAGACTCCTTTCATTGTTTATTCATTAACAAGCATTAATAATTTCCTTAAGGCTTTTTAAACCAAATGCTTTTCGATTACGCGAGTATAATACGGACGCTGTAATTTGGCAGCTCTGAACAGAGGTTAGACTAACTCTGGCACATGTACACTCGTAAAGAAAACTAATACTGCCATTCATTTTCGTTACTGGGGTAAATGAAAAATTTTACCTATAACAAGCAAAAGTAACATACCAATAATTGATTCAAAGAGAATAAGGGCTACGAATACTTATCTTTCACTAAAATACAGAGACAAAACAAAAATATAACAAAAGAGAAATAATAATATTAAATTTAACAATAAACAATCACTTTTCTAACGGACTACGCTCAAGACAGAGATAACGAAATTAACACCAAGGGGTGACCTAGACGCACTACTTTTACCGAATATTATGTACGAAGGTTTACGAAAGTACCAAATAGAAATGTCCATACGCGATCCTAGAGAGAGATGTCGTTTAATCGATTCCTATTGAAATAGATAAAATTGGTTCTTAAAAATATAATTTTATAAAAAGCCCTAAAGAAGGTATAAATAGTAATTATATAAATAATAACTTATATTTAACTAAATCAGGTAGTTCAATAATGAAAAAAGTTTTTAATGATTTTATTTTCCTTTAAAGGTAATCATGGTATTGTTTATTAACAACACCATTCACTGTGTTCATCAATCCATTTAGTACAATATCTCATACGATTTAAAATCCACAATCTAAATCGATAAAAATCGAATGTGATAAAAATCGATTACAAAATTTGATAGAATAAGCGGTGTGTGCCATTGAGTCAATCACTAGCCTAGATCTTCACCCGCGCCCGGCCCCCCTCTCCCCCCCGTTAACCACCAAAAAAAGCTTCTGTGCAGCGTTTCGCGCTTAGATCAGGACTGCCAAATTACAGCGGCCGTATTGTACTACCCATAATATGATCATAACTTGACTGTTTAAAACGCGATATAAGGCTCTCCTCGTACACAGAAACGATGAGTCGTACTTAGTGCAATTTTTTCACATAAATATGTTGCGCGAATCAACAATTAGGTGTTTCATTTTAATTGCATATTTAGAAATAGATAAAATAGATCATTTGGTTATTATAAAATTATGGTTTAGGCATAGACTATAAACACGTAATTTAAAAAGTATATATTTAATTTTCTGTCATAGAAGCTATGTTCATATAGTCTGTGATCTAGTTTTGTTTCCAACAGATTTTCTAATGGAAAAATAAATCTCAAACTGTGGAATCACGATTTATTGAACGAGCAACCCGCCTTTTTATTCAACAAATTTTCGGATGTTAACAGATGTCCTTTTATTTAAATAAAGCCTTTTATTATGCCTGTTCATTGTAAATACATACCGATATGTTATACGAGTAGTTTCATAAAATACTAAAGAGATTAACAATTATATTTGATTTAGTAAAATGTACTTAAATAATTCCCTTTATTACTTTGTAATATTTATATATGTCTTCGGTAGAGTATTTATTTAACAATCCAAACAGAGGTTACTCGCCAAAAAACCTACCGTCTCATTAATTCCTGCGTAACTTCTAAAAGCAACAACAAAGAGACATTTTCACAGTTGGGTTACCGTAATGGTTCGTGGAAATGTTTATAGCCTTAGTTTTCTTCCAACTAAGAAACAAATCTCATTAATAAATCCTGTCGATAAATAACAATTACTCAATAAGTATTTTATCCAAGTGCAAGCAGTGCAGAGATAATAAGTATTAGTAATCGAAAAGTAGAATTTGCCTTGATCCTTTACTTATTATTCGAGGATATTATAAATATTCTAAGACGGTTATACAACATTTATTGAAATGCATTATAAATAGCACAGATTAGAACGAAACACATGCTATAAATTAATTTCATGATCATTTACCTAAATTGTTAAAGAAATTATTTTTTGATAACTGAGGTGCGTAAAAACTATGTATTTTTAAGCAAGGTATTTTCATATCATACATATTTATAATTTAAAAAATGAAATGTACGAAGTAAATGTAATGTAGTTACGAAGTCTTTAAAATGATGTTGAAAAAAATATATAGTCGAGCAAAACCATATGTAAATTATTATTATTTAAGCCACCCGCGTATATGTATACGTAGTATTTTTAAGTTCTTTTATTATGTAAATCTCATTATAAATGCACAAGCTTATGAGAAATAAAGTCTATAAACCTAAATGAATACGATGAAACCAATGTGGCTTCCTAAGGCTTTAGATAGAGATGGAACAATTAATTAATAAGACTTTTTTTACAGTTGACAAGTTGTCTTCAAAATATATGAGTTTTCTTGTTAGACTGATGGCTTAGTTCTTCCATTCAGGATTCTGCCAATGTCATGAGTCTATGGGAGTAATAATATCAGTATTGTCAAAAAACACCATTCCAATTCTTATCTGTGACTTAGAAGTTTGTTTTATTGTGATTTTAGTTTATATTTTACGGTGTATGTATTATATACACGTAATACTACTGCTACTTCTTTATTAAAGATATGATATACTTACATAAATTTGAAGTATATATGTAGTTTCTTGTTTGAAGTAATAATGAATAGTTAGTAGTAATATTGAATTTTCTCGTTTTCCATTTCGGCCAGTCACTTATAATTTTATAGTTGCGTTACCCTTGACAGAATAGACAAAATAGAGAATAATTATGAATAGACAAAACATAGACGAAATGAGAATTGCTGATAAAGGCATTGATAACAACAAAAAAGATAACTTTTTATCAATTTTCATTGTTTTCAATTATATATGATTTGGAAAACATTTTTAAACCAAAGTAATAATTTTAATAATATAGTCTAAATTGCCTTAAAAATTTGCGTGTTAAAAATATACAATGGTACAGTTGGAATTCAAAAAGTTAGGTAAGTATGCAAGTTTGCATTAAGTGTATTGAAATACTTATACATAAGTAATCTGTTATAAATTAAAATGTCCTTGTATTTCAGACACTTCGGTTTTAAATGATGTATATCTTAATAAAACCAGTATTCATGCCCAAGTCGATAAGATACTTCAAAGAAACTTAGTTACCGAAAGGGAAAATTATAAAAAGTGGCTAATAAAAGCTATATCGCTCATAGACCTAACCACACTTTCTGGTGACGATACAAGATCTAATGTCACCAGACTTTGTATTAAGGTACTATAACAATCTCTATTTTTCTTTATAAATTATATTACATATGCATATCCTCCGCAAAGGCAAATAGGGGAAATGGTCAGCAAATTATGTGGTCTAATCACCCGGCATTCAATTGGTGTCCCAAGTCAAATTCAAACCATTCAAATTCATAAAAATAATAACTGTATATTGTACATATATTAATGAGCTAAAATATTTGTCAACAGGCAGCAAAACCTTTGCCACAGCTAGATATTAAAGTAAATACGGCTGCTGTATGTGTTTATCCCAACAGAGTTAGTGATGCATTTGATACAATCTCTAGGCTTGGACAAAACATTAATATTGCATCAGGTAAAATTGATATTATAGTCAATATTTTAATATGAATCCACAATTTATTGATTTTACTTTTATTTATTTATTGCTTTATATTTCTAGGCATAACACAAATTCTTAGTTAAATATAGTAGATTGTTTTATTTGATATCATGAATGGGTAAAACAATCTAAAACATTCTTACTTTTCATATAAATACAATTTCTACTTGATTTTCATTATATTTCAGTGGCAACAGGATTTCCGTCTGGCTTATATCCCATCCATTCGAGGATTCAAGAAATAGAGTATGCAGTTTCAGAAGGCGCTAATGAAATAGATGTAGTCCTAGATAGAAGCCTTGTATTAACTGGCCAGTGGGAGAAACTCTTTGAAGAAGTGTCTGAAATGAAGAAAGCATGTGAAGCGGCACATTTGAAGGTGATACTTGGAGTTGGAGAGTTGGGGTCATATGAAAATGTAAGTCAAAAGTAACATATTTAAGTATGTTATGCAAACTTTTATCTTTATTCTGTATTATTAATTTCTATAAAATTTATTTTTTTGACAAACTTTGTTTTTAAGGTGTACAATGCCTCAATGGTGTCGATGCTAGCGGGTGCAGATTTTATAAAAACATCAACAGGTAAAGAAGCCGTCAACGCTACCTTACCAGTTGGACTAGTAATGTGCAGAGCAATTAGGAGGTTTTATCAGATGTATGGAATTAAGGTACATATGCTATGCTTACCATCCCTTGGTCATTTTCTCCTAAGGGCTAAACTGAATTTGTAACTGTACACTGTAGTTGACAGTTATGAGTTACTTATTTTTTATTGTTTTTATACAAGTATTTTTGTTGTATCATATTTTAGTTTTAAATATATAAAAATAAAATTAATTGTATTTTGATACTTGTATGATCTTGTGTTTAAGTATCTATTTAAAAAAAATGTGTAGGTACATGGACGTCGGGCCGTAAATACTTTATAAGATATACATTTCAGGTTGGTTTGAAACCAGCTGGAGGAATTAAGACAGCACGGGATGCTGTCAATTGGCTGATTCTTGTACAAACAGAATTAGGACCTGAATGGCTCTCTCCAGAATTATTTAGAATAGGAGCTTCTAGCTTACTTGGTGTTATCGAAAAGGAATTATCCAAATAATTCCCGATAAACTAATCAGATATAGGTACAGTATATAGAGTTTTAATAAAATAAATAAATATTTTTGATACTTTTATAAGTGTTTATTGCATGGCATTGATTTTGTTATACTAATAAATAGGTATAGTTTATTTAGCCTAGTGTGTTTTATTTACAATAACTTATACCTAATTAAACATAATAATATCACCTCTTTGGCGTAACCATTAAGTTAATAACAACGAAATCGTTTATGAATACGATAAGATAACTTGGTTTTCAATAAACAACACAATCACGCGGAAAAATAAGTCCGACAATTATAACCTATAAAGTTCACTCCTGAACCACGGGCGGGTCCGCCCTGAAACCCAACTTCGGATCCGCATCGTACTTGACCACTCTCAGTTTTCCGTTCTTGTCCATGTATCCATAGTGACCTCTTACATGACCATCGTTGTCGCGTTCTTCGTAGCGGAATTGACGATTCTTGCTGAAAATGTGTATTTATCAATTTAAAAAAATAACATACATATTTTCGAATTACCAATTTGAAATGAAACTCAAATCCCAGGTCCCCGATAAAATGATGCCGATTGAAAAGTTATTATTTTATCTTTATTTAAATTACGCTTTTTATCTTTCTCTCAGTAATCGGTCTACTTTTTCCAGTACCATTGCATAGACTAGTCGAGAAACTCTTCTATACGATGTCTCCTATGTTAGTTCTATAGGAAGTATAATATGTTCGTAATTTCTATATTTATTTCTAGTTACATTCGTGCTAACTGCATCCTTGTAATAATCTATGAATTGCCTACCCTTTTCCAGTATCATAGCCAAATTGGTAACTATGCGGTCCGTTCATTCCGTGCATGCGAAATTCTGTCCTTTCTCCTTTATTCTCAGGGACGTATACTGGTCTCTTTGCAGTCTCTTTTGATGGAGTGGAATATCTGTTACCTGAAATGTCATTCATTGTCCTAAGCCAATTGGCTAACCAATTGTTGTAGGTCAATAGGAATATGAGAATAAATTAAACTCACGCTCTGGATGATCGTGGATGGATTCTGAAGTTTCTTGCTCCGATGGAATGGTATGGTCTTCTTCGGGCGTACTTATGGAGGGTACAAGGGGGGACTGAAACTGAAATTATTTTGAAACGGGGTTGCAACCAACTATTGCTTTTTACTTATAAACATTACAACAACACAAATAAATACCTCGTTTTGCTCTTGTTCCTTTTTTAGTTTCCTTTTTTGTTCAGCTAATTCATATAGGTATTGTTTCTTCTCGTCAATGGGTGCAAAGTATATTCCATCGATGCTCGCTTGGGGTGTGAACGGCTTAACTGGTTTAGCCTTTGGAATTTCTGTTAAGTTATCAGCATATTGTGCTATGGGAATCGGTACAGGTTTATAGCCGCTTACAACCTTCTTAGGATATATTATCGTTGGTTGTTTAAATGGAGACAGCGACAACGGGAGTCCTGGATCTTTTGAAAGGGTATCAGCATAATAAAAGTTCAGCGCATCTTCTGAGGGTGGCAAAAGTATTGTAGAAGGTGTAGGAGGTAGAGCATCTCTCAAATGCATTTTTCCTGCTCGAAAGTTCCCTACTATTATGTCTGTGGGTTCGGGTTTAGGAATTAAGGACTGTATAGGCAACTTCGTTGAAGACGGCGCAATTGGATACCAATCGTTTTGTTCGGCAAGGTCCTGTCGTTTGTAATACTTCAACACCTCTTCGGATGGCGGCAGTAATATTGTGGCTGGTGTTTCGATAGCTTCATGAACTTGTAATGGTTTTTGAGAATTTGAAAGCACCAGACGACTCGTTCCTTCATTAGAGTGATAAATTGGTATACTGCTCAGTTTGTCTATGTCGGTAAGTTGCGCTTCCTCTAAGTTGTTGACTGGTACTTTTATTGCGGCACTGAGCCCGCAAATTGCGACTATCTGTAATAATTAATAAATATGAAAAACGATGAGGAGTTTATTTTGAGTTTTCAAGTGGCGTAAGAACCGGTGCTGGGGTTTATCCATTATTTATTTTTAAAGACGATGTTTTACTAATAAGTAATTACTTTTTGAAATACGAAATATATAAATTACTTGATATAATATCCACAAGCTATGTGTACAGTAGTAGTAGTACAATTCACATAATCACAAAAAATAGGTCGAAAATAAAAGTTCGTTAGTTCGATCTTTTTTGTACAACCTCGGTTGCATCACTCGTGGTAATATCCGATCAAGAAAAGTGTGTCACGAACAGAAAAACCATTTAAGAAAAAAAAGAAGAATGACTTCATCAAGCTCTGGTTCATTGGTCTATTGAACTAGATGCGTACTTCTTATTTTGGAGATCAGAACACAGCCAATACAATTAATTGTATCGAAACAGATTTTCTTACTTCTTTTAGGAATAGGTACTTACGTATGACTAGGACTACGTAGGTTCTGATTTTTTTATTATATATCTTACAACTCATCAAGTACTTTTTCTCTTCTTCTAAATAAAATTAATCTTGGAAAAGACAGTGTCAATGTCTCCAAGGTTTAAAGGCATAACGACGATATTTAGTAAATGAATACACTCATTAACATTTTTGTTTAAATAATTTTGGCACATCTTTTCTAGTGCTAATCTAACACTATTATCAGAAAATCGTTATTATGTCCAGCGCATAAATTATCATCGTTATGAGATCAGTTTCCATTTTGTGGTCAGAGTTAATGGTGCAGAATGCAAATATATTTTTCACTTTCTAGGGTTGACCTAGAAATTGATATTATAAATTGAAAGCTACTACACAGTTATATTCTGGGTTTAAATTACACGCATCTAATAACTTTAAATATTAAAAGCACTTAGGAAACATTATTCCTTGGAATAAGCCCATAGGTGTCTTATGTAAATATTTTTATGGCCAAGACCCAAGACACGGTTAGGATGTAAGGTGAAAGGGTGGAAAATAGCCCAATCCTAATTCGCTATTTGTTTTAAATTTGGACTTGGTGGAGATCCACAAAATCGAGCGTAACGCGATTTTACACATTACGACGTTTGAATTTGTGATTGTTGGTGGTTCCGGACGTTGCATGCACTGGGTTTCAATCACAAGATTATTTTGATAGTGGACTCGATGAGAAACCTACAACTTCATTGTATACTATGACGAAAACTAAGCTTTATTAGACACGGCCTTGCTCGCTGTAATGAGAATCTCTTTAGAAAGATAGTCAAATGAAAGTGAGACTAATAAGCTTCTAACGGAGTTCATAAACAAATGGCTAATAGCCACAAAGCGGTAGTAATAAAAGTGGATTTATCCATATAAATTATAACTGGTAAGTTACGTGCCAACTAATAGGTACCTAGTTGCACGTAGAAAGTTTATCTATCGATAAGTACGGAGTTATTTACTCTTGTTTTTCCCGTAACGGAAAGTTTAATAAGTTATGTCATGTTATTTCCGTGACGGATGTAATACTATTATATATTTTTATATATTCAGTATTTGTCGCTAGACCTAAAATTAACAAGTTGCGGTACTAATTCCTAATGTTAATAAAAGTTAATAACACAGATAGTTTTGAACTTAAAGTTTTTAAGTCTGGTAGCTCACGCGAGTAGCACACATTTAAATAAAACACTTAGTCGAAATATATTAGTTGAACTTATTTTAACTAAGTTAAAGTAATTTATTTATGTTAGGGAACTTATTATATTTCCAAATCCCTTAGAAGGCAATAAAACCTTAAATATTTTCTAAGTGAAAAACCAAAACGTTTTATTTTGCTTAATCTTTAAGAGGGTAATAATATTTTTTGATATACCGACCATTTGTGAATATTTAAATGATATAAAAATCGCACTCCATTTTTTTTTGTTCCCTTCACAAACTATATCTTTTAGTTTCAAAGTTAAGTCTTCTATATAATTTGATAGACAGAGTATTGTATCTATTTTAGACTGAAATTTTTGTTAGCAATAGTAAGAGGCGATTTTTTGGTAGTCAATAGTTAGGAAACATCCTTTTAAACAAATATTAAATAACGACTAATGTTTTTCTGTATCATACCCCTAGTTGTACACATTTGAGAACAGATTATCGAATTTTATTTAATTTCAAAAGGATATGTATGTATTTAATAAATATTGATATTATTATTTATCCACGAAAAATAAATACAAACCGTTAAAAGCCTCCACATCTTAATTGGATCACAATTCAAGCACGATTTGTGTTTCGACGAATCACAACACCATCGATGTTACAATAAATCTGTCGCTGCGCTCGCGCAGCTTGTATCACAATAAAATGAAGGCGGGCGACAGTCACGCTTACATTTTATATAGATCGGCAAATTGCCTCTCCACTATATAGGAAATTGAACGCAAGTTTTATTTTCTTTTATATGAGTTAGATAATGTTGGTTAGTTAGTTAGTTGGAAATTTTGTCTTAGAATCTAATTGCAAAAGATAATAATGCTGTATTTACATACGAGTACAATGAGCTGTTGGTAGGCCTACAAGGTACCCGTAAGTACATGAAATTTATTTGTTATTCCTTACCGAAATGAGACAATTGATTGTTTATTTTAAAGGGTGCTCTTTCGAAATGTAAAGATTCAAGCCAAAATACAAAGCAAAACTCCGCTTTTCCTTAGTGGGTAACGGGGGCAAAGCTTAAAATCGTTTCACAGAACTTTTGACATCCGGCAAACTAGGATCAGTCCTCAGTGGCATGCCAAAATGAAACATGTTACGTAGTGGATTTGAATAAAACCGCTACATCATTTAAAATCTTTATTACATATCGCCGGTACAGCAACTGATTAAAATGCAGTTTCTATGTATTGTACCACTCGAACGCTATTTGTACACAGGACAACATACATTCATAAATTTTCAATCGCATATTAATATACAATTAATGTATGAGAAATATTTTCCGACCGATGCTTAAATCATTGAAAATCGTCTAACAAACAGCAATGTAATTACCAATAACAAAATTACAGAAGGCATAGAAAAAAAATTATCGTAAGTACGTTTTTCGAAAAAATGTCAAAAGAGTGTACACACATTATTAAACCATAACTTAAATATTGCAAGTCTATTTGCAATCAGATCACATAAGTTTGTGTTTAAACACAAATATCTATAAGATAAATATAAATATTTTTTATGCATCAGTGAATGCATAAAAGCTAATGATGGCTTAACCGTTAAATGAAATGATTATATGAAAATTTCTAGAATAATCTGCAGGCATTCATCAATACTAGGATGATAAATATTTCTTAAGAGCTATATTATTCGACTTAAATCTACTTAGCGACTTATCACATACATCGACCTCTAACCATTCACAAATACTGTATCCACAATATACTAGTCTGAGTATACAATGAGAAAGACATACATCCGTATGTGCATTTAAATAAATCCGCGTGAAAAACATATACTTTCAATTAAATAAGTACAGATACGGTCCACATCGTTCACACAAAATAATTTCAACGATAAACTTTTCGCAAAAAGACGGCGACGTCCGGTTTTTTTTTAATTGGAAATAAATGCTTAAATTTGTAGCTCATTAAATAAGATCGAAGTTGATGTTAAATATTGTTTTTACAATAAAAAAATAAAATGACCTTATTATCTTCTAAACTAGATTCGATCAAACGTTTAAATATATTAACTTATAATGAATTTCGAATTTAATAATGTCATTATTTAACGTGTTTTGGGGTTCATTACAAATATATAGTGTAGGTTAGTTCTTAGGGATAGGTCATTTACGTAAAATTTTTATACACGTTTGTGCAAATATATATCGATTGTTTTGGGTATTATTAAAACACTGGTATGACTTGAAACTTCCTTATTCAATTGTTTAGTAACGTGATACTTAGCTAGCTCTAGTCACTACCACTGTGGATTCGGTGGTAAGTATGGATCTGGGGCATTATTCGGTGGTGGGGGGAAAGGTGCTTGCGGTGGTGCGTATGGAGGGTAATAGCCTCCACTGTAGCCGCCGTAGTATGCAGGATTATGCGGGTACGCCCCATAACCCATTCCATAACCTAAAAATATTAAGTTTTAATGAAATTAATTAAATATTTTGTGGCAGAAATTTACTATATAATCAGATACTATTGTGGTAGTTAATAACTATTATATCGAGTAATAAGATTTTATTTTAAATCCTCTAGACTGAAAAAGGTCACTAAGTACAAATAAAAAATATCGTTGAAATACAGTCAGTAGTTTACGCGAGTAGTACATTAAAATAAAACAACGGCTATCCAGATATCAAGCATTGGTCGCTGTAAAGCATATTTCGCGTTTAAAACCGTTTAAGTGTTTTCGTTATTTCTAACCAATACATAACAACATTATGTAGATTTTAAAGAAAATTTTAATGAGAAACGGAAAATTTTATATAACCCATTGGTTCATCATTATGTCAACCCCAAATAAAATCTAATCTAAAATCTCAAAAGCTTTGTTCCAATTGAATCGAATTGAATGAAATGAAATCGTCTAAGTGTAAAAAGAAACCCCAAACATTTCTTCTCATCACAATTACAGCCGCCTCGATTCGGAAACGTTATTTGCAAATCTACGATTACGACAATCTAAAATAATTGCTTTATCAATTTTAGACAGTGCAAGTTAACTGCAATTATAAATAAACGCCTAAATAAGCAATAAGCGTCACCTTGACTACTCCAGTTACTTAACAATTATGCGATCACGAAATATTGGTATCGCAGAGTCGTAGACAAAAGACGACTTTGACCCTTGTCCGGTTCTCATATTAGTATCCAATAGTGAATGTTCGTACTATATATAATCGATATATTATTAGACTACGTTTTAACGGAATTATACAAAAAAGTAAAACCACTATTTCCGGTTTCTTAGACGTAATCGTCGGCCTCACCCAATTTCGACAAAAGAGCTCAATAATTAACTTTAAAACTACACAATGTACAAAAAATCAAGAATAATGAAGATAGACGGGCTCATTAGTCAAATGGTAATAAGCAACGGGTCGTGAGTTTGAACCCCCTTGTCTGTTCTCCTCTATCGCAAACTAAAGACTAAGAGAAACTTATATTATTGAATAGTTTTACAAAGTGGGCTGTCATAAACTTTTTTTTGTTAAAGATTTTTAAGTAAATCATACAGAAAGTGTTACCTGGATATTGTCCATAACCCTCCGGTGGTGTACTTCCACTTGCGAAGACGGGATCATTAGGGAGCATGGGGGGAGGTGGATCTATAGGTTCTTTACTGGTTGTAGTTCCACCAGTCATCAGTCCACTGTGGGTCATATTTAGCGGCATGGCCTGAGATTTACTCAAGTTATACGCCTCTTGCACACCGTGCGCTATTTGATTTGAGCTGTCCTGCTTTTGGGTAGTGCCGAGCATACTAGACACACTGTGTGACATATTCGGTCGTTCCTGCGTTTCTATCTTCTGGGGCGATCTCTTCTTTCTTCCACTCGTTTTCTCTTCAACAGAGGGAGAATAAGACTGTGTTATATCATCTAAATTTTTCCTAAAATCCGGCACGCCCTCTTTGTTGAGCGTCGTCGCCGTTTTTTCCAATTGGCTGAGACTCGACTCCGGCTGCGGCCGGCTTATAGGCCGTTGGTGTCTATAATTTTTTAATAAATTGATTTTCCTCTCGCCCCGATTCGCTAAATTCATTGGGCCTTCGTCTTTTACGTTACTTTGCGATAGCGCTGCCACCTCCGGCCCATTTCTATCGCTTCGTGTTTCTAGGGCTTCCTCTGAAGGTAGTTTTTCGTCAGTTGTTAGTACAATGGGCGTATTGACTTTGCTTTCTTTGTCTTGGAAAGAAGTTGCATCTTTGCTAGAGCTATCAGATGTATCTTTATTTTCATTTTTATCGTCTTTATCGTTGACTATCCGATCGGATGACGGACTACCATTCGTTTTCTCTCTCAAATCTTCATCATCACTGTCTAAAACCTGAGTTTCCTCTTCGAAAGCCCTATGTCTCTCATCAGGCTTCTTGGGTACTTTTGTAATACTCAAAGAACCGGGTAAGCTAGGTCGAAGCATTCTCATATTTGGCGTGGGTAATTTCGGACGCGCACCATACGATCGCATCTCTCCCAGGCGGTTCCTGATCTCAGCTATTTTCTGCCCGGGCAACATAGATCTTCCCATTTTCGGACCCATCATTGATGGTCTAGTTTGTACCCTCTGAAAACGTGGGCCCGACTTAGAAGTAATTGTAATCGCTGAATTATTTTTCAGGGATCCGGGAATATGTGCCGAGGATGGCCGACTACCCATTACTGAAAATAGAGAATCGTTAAAACCATTTTGCATCAGAAAAGGGGTAAATACTTGTATAAATAAAAACTACTTACCCTTTTTACCTAATGTACTGTCCTTACTATCACCTTTCTGCCCCAAACCTTTAAGTGCTGTTTTGATTGCTATTATTTTTCCAGACTCTAGTTGCATATAGATTCCCTTTGGCGACTTCAAGACCATTACACGTTGGCCAGCCTTTAGGACAATGTTGGTCTTTTCCGATGAATTAGTTGGAATCACCACATCTAATAACAAAATAAAATATATTATAGCTGTGATAGAAGAAGAGGGCGAGAGCTGCTAAAATATATAGATATTAAATAATGTATGATAAAAACACGATCACGTTACAGTACATTAGTGCAGGGCCGCAAGAGAGGCAGGTACAAAAACCAATCAACCAGTCCACCAATGCCTAGTTGTGGCTAAGGTATTGTATAGTAGGTACTTTTCTTAAATAATGCGCAGATATAATAATTTACATACACAATAGACGAACAACTAACAACAATAGTTTTTTTACGCGCCAAAGCACTTTCTTTTTCACTATGTACAAGCCAGTTCGAAATTCAAATTAAACTTTTGATACCACCGTGTTCGCCATTTCATTTTACATATTTTTTTGCCTCTAGACACGCTGCTAGATCAGTACAGCAATCTTAACAAAGACGCCCCATGTAGAAGACACTAATAATACATTTAAGTTACTAATTACGCGCATTTTTAATACCTAAAGGTAGCGTCATCTCTTGCGCTGTCATTCCTTGTCGGCGCCAGACATCTGCAGGAATCCAGCGCGCCCCGTGCTGCATCGGACGGACGGACGCGACAGGCCGCTGCACCAGGCTCCCGTCAGCTGTGCGTACCGTTCGATACGCTGTAGTCGGTTTAGGTGCCGACGCAGCTTTCTTCTCCAGCTCGTAACTATATTATGAAAATGAGAATTAACACTAAACAGTTGCGGCAAACAATATTATGAAACGCGTTTTTTTTTTGAAACTACTTTATTCATTGGTAACCCATATAAAATAAGACAAAAACACGTGTGGTATTTTACAAGCTAATGACGTCACAAGTGTTCCGTCACGCAATATGTATTATAATAGTGACGCAATGTGTATCAATAGTGTATCAGGAAACTTGAACACATCCGTCAAGTTTTTATAACCATTAAGAAAATAGTTTTAGACAAATCTTACCCTCTCTGAGCTAATCTCTTCTCAGCACTGGACAATTTCTTTTCTTTTCTATCGACGAGGAGAGACTCGTGTTGGAAAGGCTCCTTGGTCAGTAGTTTACTGTGCAACGTGAGGATTCCTTGCATCAGCACATCAATGTACTTATCCTTGTATTCTAGAAGATCTTTCGGTTCTGATTCCTATAAGAAATATTTTTTTTAATTACTAAATCTGCGTATTAAAATTAATTTTCTCTGCGTTATTTGTAAAATGTATATAAATACTTTTTCATCATTATCAAAGCAGAGATTAGTGATCTCCTTCATAGATAAGACCGCGTCTGGGTTGCATTCGTCCACAACACGATCTGCCATGCCCTGCTTATTGATTTGACGGTCGTAGATCTTTTTCTCCAGACAACAGTCCATCACAAAACGGTATACGAAACAAGGCTTCCTTTGACCGTATCTGTAAAGAATAGCGTTTATTTATTTTAAAAATATAGTAGTGCTAAACTTTGTAAAAAAGTAATATTTTTAATAAAATTGATTATAATTGATAAGTTGTAGAAGTTGTTTATCTACACTAATATTATAAGACTTGTATTCTTCTTAAGTAACTAGGCTATATTTTGTGTAGGTGTAAAAAATTGCCAAAAAAATATCTTTTATCTCATACGCTGCGAAGAGTATTAATGATTCACGGTCGTTTTAATTAGCATGCTTATAACTTATATATCTGTACGTAATTTTTTTATAGTCTAATAATGTCTACCCAGCGAAGCCGGGACGGGCCGCTAGTTATTATGGAGCAGACTACTTATTTTTAAAGTATTGCATGCTATTGTATACAACAAATAACATATGTATTTGTAACATTCATAGTTATCAAAAAAGATGTGTTTATATGTTTAGAATACTCTTTTTGAGAATATCAAAGAAAAACAATTTTCTCTACATTTATCACTATGAAGTTTACCTGTAAACTCGACAAACAGCTTGGGTGTCGTGACACGGGTTCCAGCTGGCATCAAATACAATAACCCTGTTGGCTCCAACTAGGTTTATTCCGAGAGAACCAGCCCGTGTCGATACCAGAAACAGATAAACGTTTGGATTAGCATTAAACTCATTTATAAGCTTTTCACGCTCCAACGCATGCGTAGAACCGTCCAAACCTGAAATATCGAGAAACTCTGTAAATATAAATATACAAATTATTATGTAAATAAAAAAAAGTATAAAAACTTACGGAAATATGAAGTATTCCTCTCCCACAAACGATTGGTGCCCGGAATATAATTTCTCTCAAGAAAATCTTCAATTAGATTCAGAGTAAATAAACTTTGACTGAATAGTAATAATCGATCCCCAAGCTTGATACTCTCGTTCAAAATGTAAAAGAACAACTCCATCTTAGCTGAATTTTCGATCAATCCAGGTATATAATCTCTTAGGAGATCGGTTGCCCAATCGTATGTCATTTCTTCCGCTTTCTTGACAAGTGCTAATTCTTCTTCTTTGTTCAATTTTTCTTCTTTTTCACTGTGTTCTGATTCCGATTCTTCATTTGTTTTGTCTTTCGAAGTTTTTCTATCCTTTCTACTTTTGGGTTTAGCTTTTGCTTTAGTAGGCCGAGGGGACTTTTCTGCTTTTGATTTTTCTTTTCCCTTGCCTTTACCTTTACCTCGCTTCGGTACTTCGGGTTCTGAATCGGAACCATTATCTTTCACAGTATCCAACATTGCCTTTATAACCGGTTCACTTTTTGTAGGTGGTGTAGGGAACTTATCTTTTTTAATTTCGTCTTTAACAATTGTCTTAGTGTCTAAATCTTCTATTTTAACCTCACCATCAGATTCTGATTTAATTTCCATTTTGTCTTCCATTTTTAGTCTATCAAGCTCAGTCTTTATTGTATCTGTTGGCATGGGCCATGATGTGACAGGGCTACCAGAGCTGGCACTGCATAAAGGCGGCTTAGTTTCCATAGGTTGAGAATAGTTAGGAAACTGATTATTATAATCGGGGTGACTTTGTTGATTGTAATTGTAGGAAGCTCCATATGGTGCACTTGCATTTTGTGTAACATTCGGTTCTTGTTTAACAACAGATTGACTATAAGGTGGATCTATATTTAATTCCGTTTTAACTGGATGTTGACTGGAAGGAATATTTTCTTGTCGTGACATGTTTGGTGGATAATTATTAGCGTATTCAGTTGAGTTCTCATATTGGTTGTAAGGTGTTGATGGATTAGCAGGGTATGGATTATTACCAGGATATTGTTGCGATTGGTACCCTGGATAATTTGCTGGAGTTTGATTGTTCTGGTACGGCTGTGGTGGGCCATTACTAGGATCATATTGTGAATATGATGCTGGATTATTGTATGGGCCTTGATAAGGTTGTGAGCGGGGTAGGTTATTATAATTTTCCGAATTGGGTGGATATGGAGCGTTATTACCCGGATAAGAAGTATTTGGTGGGACGTTAGTACTAGGGTATTGATTGCTCGGTGTCTCATTGTTTACTGGGTAATTTGAATTATTAGTAGGAACACTGTTGTTAGCATAAGGAGCATTGTTCGGAGGTACAGCCGTAGCCGAAAAAGAACTATTAGTTGGAGTAACATTGTTTTGATTGTACGATGTGCCAGAAGGCGTATCACGTCCAGCATATGGTGTGTTATTTGCTGGTGCACTGTTAGCAGGATACTGTTGATTATTAGGGGGCGCACCGCTAGTATAAGTAGAAGCATTTGATGGCGTGTTATAGTTTCCTTGATACGGCTGTGAATTTTCAAAACCTGGAGCTTGATTTGGATTGAAATTCGGCGGAGGCGGTTGCCCCTCCGTATATTGCGGATTATTATAATAACCGGGATTTCCATAATAACTGTTATTACTCCAGTAGTTCTGGCTGTAATTTTGTTCCGGATTGGAAGGTGGATATTGATTGGGATAGTTATTATCATATGGAGGCTGTTGCGGGTAATAATTATTGCCATATTCCTGATTGTAGTTCTGACCGGGTGGGTAATATCCAGGTGGAGTATTTTGATAAGGCGGATATGGGGGATAATTCCCTGGCGGTCTGTCGGCTCTCGCAGGGTTGGAACCATACGCGGTATTTGAATATTGAGTATTTTGGGTATTTGTATCTTGTCGTGGTGGTACAGGAGCAGTTGTGTTAGGCGGAATTGTTGCTGCTGGTTTTTTCGATGAACCCTATAATAGACAAAAAGACAAATAACGTATTTATAACAAAAATAATTTACAGAAATACATAGTCTGGTTTTTAAATACACTTTACCCGTGGCTTTCCAGGTCGTCTCGGTTGGGCTTTACCATTCTTCGCTCGACCTGCCTTCGTAACACCACCAATCTCTTCTAAATCTAAATCCTCTTCGATAGCTGCACTTACTTCACTGCGCTTCTTCAGAAAGTTGTACAAGACGTCAGGGTGATTCCATATCTGAAATATAAACACTTAAAATCTCCAGGCATGTTAGATTACAAACACAATAACACAGAAAGTTTTGGAACAGATGTCTATTGATAGAATTGGTATTAAAAAGTAGAAGTACATATTAAAAACTGTCACTGCTTTGTATGTTAAAATTAACAGCCGAGCAAAGCCATGGAGCGAGTGTTTATTATAGTAAATGGTTACATACCTTACAACAAATAGCGAACGCTTTTAATGGATTTGGGACAGATGCCGAGCGAACGACTTCATTCATAAAGCGATCGTAGAGTTTTCGCTGCAGAGGCGTCATACGGACTAGAAGAACATATTCTTCCTTTTGTGGCAGAGTTGATTGTAGTACAGCGTGCGAACGTCTGACAAATAATTAATAGTTTTGATACATCTTTTTCTTATTAGTATACCATTTTGTACATTAAAAAAATAGTAATATATAAATATCTTTCACTTTTATTTAATTATTATTAATGACGGTGATAGTTGGTATATATTAAAAAAGAAAAAAATAAAGGTTAATGCATAAACATGTTGAAAACGCCAATGAGTTTAACAGCAAGAATCGTTGTGGATGCCCGTTCAAGGCCTGCCCGTGTCTTAATCTCTTCAATTTATAATCGATTTTTACTGCATATATCAATTAACACTACCACTGACACAGTAGTCTAGTTGTAACAGCAACAGCACGGTACATATTGGTCGTAGGTTCGATTTTTTCAATCTTGCTTTATTTTTGTACTGTTATTACACTTATATAAAAAAGTGAAATCCTGTTTCCCCTCGTGGGCATAGGGCGAACACACTTCTGAGTCCGTTTCACTGATCGGATTTATTTACAGGCAAGTAGTTGACGAGACTTCTGACCCCTGCCCGAGCGAAACAATTTACTGATTCCCCGGGATTCGAACTCAGGAACTCGCGCTTAATGCAATGCCAAGCAACACTACTCTATTGTTTTCACTTTACCTTTGCACGAAACCGACAAGCAACGAATGTAAAACGTGCGCCCGATAACGCATCAATCTTATATCCTGAGGTGTCGAATCTATGCACTGTCCGTTCTGTATGGGCCGCTCGAACATATTGCAGAACTCTGTCTTGCTTCCGAGATAGTTCGGACGCACAAAGTCCACCATGCACCAATATTCTAGCAAGTTGTTTTGCAAAGGATATCCTGTGGAATAAATAACATATCAAGATGAATACAGTAACAATATAATGGAAGGCTTTTTTTATGTAAAAGGATTACAGACAGGCACAGGGCTCGCTTGATGAAAAGTGAAGGAAATCCACAGCAAGATACCAATTACATTCTCACATAAGTTGACGGTAATCAACCTTGGAAAATTTTTTATTCCTACCCGTTTAGTACCAGATTCCACACGAAATACTACGTGTTGAGAAAAATTATATATGTATTAGAAACATATTGGAGCCGGTGGAAATCGAATCCACGATCTCTTGATTATTAGCCAGCCATTGTTTTTAAAATTATTTACTATTTCCTATAAGTTACATAGGTCAAATGCTCTTTGTAACAATAAGGATAATTAAATCCACAGTAAAATACCTGTGAGTACAACACGACGTTTTGTCCTCATTTGCTTTAGCGCATACGATATGTTCGAGTGGCTGTTCTTGATCCTGTGCCCCTCGTCACATATAACAAGGTCTGGCCCCGGTTTAACTAGAGCTTCATACATTTCTAAAATAAATTAAAAAAATTCATGACCTAAACATTGAATAATATTGTATACCGAGGAAATTCATATATTCATGCTGAGACCAACGGACCAACTGCATTGATAGGAATAAAAGGTTGAAAAAATCCACGAGCACGTATAAGACACGGTAGCTCAATTGTTTAGAGCAACAGCATGTAACGCTACGAATTGCGGTGCATGTCCTACCAGTGTCGTATTTTTTTTCCATTTATAGAGACCAATTTAAATATATATAATGAAAAATGTATTTATTCACCTCTGCAAACAGCATGAAGACTTGAATCTAATAAAATAATAATAAAAAACAAATTACCATCAAGCAGCTTTTTGTCTTCGTCAGATGGAGTATCGTCCTTTTTATCTTCTTTATTATCATCTAATCTGAGAGCGACGTCACCTTCCTGTCCATCAATACGGGTATCATCGGATGCTTTTGTAACTGTTGCAGCATCGGAGCCCTGTAATAAGATGCACTACTATTAAAGATCTTGTTGAATAATCTCCAGTCTCTAGTTTATTTCATTGCAATTGGAAATTATGTTTTGCAGAAGCTGTGTCGTGCTGTGTGGGGAGTCCCCCCGTTATTTCCAAATAAGTTTAACTTATATATTTCACGTTTCAAACCGTTAAAGTATTTTATTTATTGCGTACTACTTGCGATTTTTTTATTGCAATAATATTTACCTGAGTTGTGTCGTCATTTCCGACATCGTTTTTCTTATCTTCCTTCTCTTTCTCAGCCTCTAACTTTGCGTCCGCTTTCTTTTTCTTACGAGGTTTTTTATCCTTTTTCATACTTAACAATCTATATAATTCATAACCTATCATAAGGACACCGCCTGTGGTTGTCCAATCCTAGAAATTTTAAAACGTTTAGTAAGAATGACATTATTTATCTTTATTTTAGTAATAAACTAGTGTCTGACTTTGTAGCTAAATGGTTCAACATATTGCCTAGCAATATTTTACTTATCCAAGGATTGTCACGGTTATACATTGGTTTATACCTTAACTACTTTGGCACGCATTTGCAATGTCTTGTGGCTGTCGTTTAACACGTAAATCGGAAAAGTCCTCGTTCGCACTTCACCATGCGCCGCGAGAGGACTGTTTGCTGCGTCCACAGGAAGCCACATGTTAAACTCTGCCACCTACAAAAACCAATCATTAAATTATGTTCAGCATAACTACGCAAACAAACTAAATACAATAATAAAAAAATATTTATTCGTTGCAAAAAGATTTATCTTACAAAGAACATAATTGTTCTAAATATTATATTATTCAAATTCAAAATTTTTGATTGCCATTAAGATATATACAGTAAACTTATAATTTATAAATAAATCGGGTAAATGAAAAATATATATAAATATGAAAGAAATGGCAATCGGTACCAGTCTCAGCTGTGCTGCTGAATGTTTGTTGCAGCAGTGCTGGTTTTCAGTCTGGCTGCATTATAATAGCTTTGAGATGGATATAACTAACTAGGAACATAAAAAGCACATTATCCTACTGATACATTGTTTTACACTTACCCAATTTTGTAGGGTATTAATAGGCATAATACATAGTACTGTTTTGGAACTAGTGTGTCGCAAAAATATATCACAGAAGCATACAATTTGTAAAGTTTTTCCGAGGCCCATGGAATGTGCCAATATGCATCCGAAGCCAGTTGATGTTGAAAATCGCTCTGTTGATTCTATTATATTGTCGAATAAGAACCGCACCCCTCCAATCTAAACAATAATAACATTATACACCATGTCTTGCATAAAGCTAAATTTAAAAAGAATATTAAAATAAATTATTATTAGACATCTTGACCGGCGCGAACTTTTTTGTACTTGTTTACGCGCGCGATGTGAGAATTTGATTGAACGGAGTTACTCTGCCGAGTACTCGGTTGAAAAAAACATAACTAGGCAAAAGTGTTACTTAGCACATCTCTAATTATTACACATATTTAATTAATTTGGTTACCTGGTGCGGTTTAATAACTCTCGCGATTTGAGGGGCTAAAAAGATATCTTCTTCGTTTTCCGGATGTCCAATATTTATTTGTACTCTTCCTTGTTCATCGGGTATATTGTAAGCATCATTTACGTGAAGACCTATGAGTGAAACACACATTTCATTCAGTCCATATCATTTAAACATTATCAATTATAATTTTTCATTTAATTACCTGAATTTCCTGGATCATCTTCAGCTTCAGGACTAGGCGGTACTTCTGAATCAGACAGCATAATACAATCATCAGAATCTGAAGATGACGAGGAAGACTCCTCACCACTGCTACTATCAACTATTTCTACTACCTGGAACCAATATGGGCAACACAGTTAAAAATATGTTTAATGTTTATACACTAAAGTAATCTTAAATAACTTATAGGTTCATAAATACATAAAATGTAATCAAAAAAGGAAGTTTAAACATTACTTCTTATTTTAATAGATTAGATACAAATGCGAGAAACTATTGATGATACCTTACCTCCTTTTTTTCACCCTTCTGGTCAGGTTTACTTAATCTCTGAGCTAATGCAGAAGCTGATGTTGCAGGTTTAGGTACTTTTGTAACCTCTAATTGACCAGGTTTAACACTAGTTTTTTTAATCTCTCCTGACGGTAATTTGACTAATACTGTGTTAGGTAAACTAAAAAGAAAACATCTCATGTAAAAATTCCATTACACATAAAACTAATAGAAAAAGAAGTACTGCATACTTCAACTTTTGTCCAGATGTAGATTTCTTTAATATAGATGAACCACCTTGCAAAAGTGACAAAGTCTTCTGATGAATTTTGTTTTGCCTATTAATAGCTATTTGCCTTTGAACCTAGAATTGTATAAAAATAACAAAGTTTATCATAGAATATATTTACACTCACACTTGAATAACTACTTTAGACAGGATAAAAGGACATACATACATAACATACCTATATAAATTTTATCACCTTTTTGTAAATACAGTATGTTTAAAATGCTATAATTCCGATCATGAAGACTGTTTTCTGCAATTGAATACTGTCCTTTTCCTATGGGGCTAATATTATTTTTATTGGTTATAGGAAACAAATACTTACTTCTCGTATGATTCTTTGCTGTTCCTGAACTCGAGCTAAACGCTCTGATTCCTGTCTCTGAGCTGTTAATGTGGAAGCATCTAAATTCTTTTCATCCATAACTTCTCTTATATTACGTCGAACATTTAAAGCACTAGAGTTTAGTTTTTTCTGAAAACCATTAATTTAGTGATTATTTTTGTATTATAGTTAGGCTAATTTATTTACAACATATTGTAAAAAACTTAATTCTTATGATTTGTGATGAATATGAGTCTTTGAATACCTCTTCATCATTTTCAGCTGTGTTACTATTATCATCTTCACTCTCTGTTTTATTAATTGGTTTAACACTAATTTCCCCCATGTCTTTTAATTTTTCCTGTATATCAAAGTTTTGGCTACTGCTATCTTCTTTCATATCTAAAAGATCTTCAGGTGTTTTCTCTGGGCAAAGGTCAGTTTCATCTACTTCAGTTATTTCAACATTTTTTGATAAATCCAACCCACTTTCATCAATTATGTCACTAATTGAAAGTGTTTTCGGTTCCTCAATAATGTTTGAAGGTGATGACTCCGAATTGTCTGAACACTTTGCATCTATTTGTTTTATTTTAGATTCAACAAAGTCTCCCGTCTCAGGGTCTATATAACTATCATTCTCTTCATTCAGATCCTGCACTGCACTGGGGTCAACAGTAAACTCCTCTTCTGATAAACCATCACTATCAGTTTTATTGTCCTCACTAGAATAGTCACTAAAATCTAATAAATTATTACCACCTAAACTGCGTATTTTTATGCCAGTGTCTTTTTTCAATTTCTTTGTAAAATCGTGAAAGTTTCGCACTGCTTCTATTTTTCTTTTTTGGCTCATTCGCCGAGGACGAGCTGCCGGTCGCCGCCGAGAATTCATAGCAGCCGTTTCCGCGAAATGAGCGCGCTGTATTCTGGCGATCGTTTCATCTTCGTCCTCACTATCCATCATATCCTCTTCCGACATACTGTCCTCCTCCTCTAGATTACTGGCCCTTCGTATTATTGACATAGCTCCACCAGCATTATTCATTGTAAACAAATCATCAAAAAAAAGTGTTCATGGTACAACAATGCAAAGTTTGTCATAGCGTAAAGATAGAATTATTTACAGAGAATTTTGCACTCGTTTTTCAAGTAATTTATCCACTTGTGAATATCATTTCGGCAAAGACATTTAGATCAGATTCTTTGTACACCATGGCCAAGCCGCGGTATAATAGTAAAATTAAGTATTCATGAATTCCAATAATTCTGAATTCTAAGGTAGAATGTTTTATAATAATTCACTTCTGTAAATGGGATAACCACTAAATGTTTTAATTAACATTTTTAGTAAATACATTAACTACAGCAATTAAAATTTCGGAAGCCATTACTTCCGTAATAAATAGCATTTGACTTTACTATAATACTATTCTATTACAATAATTTGTATATTCGACAAGCGTGTTTACAAAAATCCCTAAAGTTTAGCCGGGCCATTATAAGCTTTGCCTAAAAAAACGTTAAGGTTTACAATAACAAAAGTATAAGTCACATTTCCTCTACCATTTTTTAAGGGTCTCTTAGATAGAATTCAAACAAAATCAGACCTTCAAAACGTTATCAAACTAGACGTAACTTTGTTTGGCAATCTTTTTTATTGATGGCAACTGTTAACAAACGTCGATGTAATTCAGTGTCTCTGAAGCTTGTCATTATTAAACTTTTTCTATAGTCTATGAATAGATGCGTTCAGAAAAGCATATTGCGCGGTGGAGTAGCATCGTTAGCCCATACAATTTTCAAACTGTATGAATAATGTTGCGACCGTGACCGTCACTGTGTATTATGACGGTCATAAGTGAAATTAAAAAAAAAATATGATGATGGCCGATAACAAATGCGACCGTAAAATAGAGTTACCTCAATGGTACAATAAATCTAGAGAGTACTAAGTCAAAATGTTATTGTTCCCTTGCGCTTAAACAGTCAGATAGCTTTTTATTATATATATATTCAAGTGGACAAGCTGGGTACTTTCCTTCACAGATTGTAGTGTTTTTTGACAACCTTCTGCAGACCACATTTTTATTTTTATAGTTAATGGTTGGTGTTATGTGATGGGATTTGATTTGAAACTTTATCTAATGAACTAAGAATGATAAATAAGTAAAAATGCATAGAGAAATAAAACTTTTACATGATCTATTTTAATAACATTTTCACTTATGTCTGTTTAAATAAAAATAACACCTTATGCCGCTCCTACAAGACGATTTTCACGTAAGCGTAAACGGCGTTCACGTTCAAACTCTTTCATTCGTAGAACATAACTGCAAAGGGTAAATTTCATATTAATATTTTTTCTTTATCAAACCAGAGGTATGGGGGCAAGAAGTAATTTAAGATTTGTTGTCTTTTAACAGTTTTATAAATTTTATAATTTACTGCTAACTTGTAACTCATACTGCTTATTATTGTAATTAATCAAGATACAATTTGAGGGGAGCTGTATATGTCTTAAATGAGCCTAATTGGCTTGTTTTACCAATATTAACAGATCAGCGCCCCGACAATTCAGTACAACACTTACTCTTGGTGTTCACAGTTCAAATAATTATGTTTTTCATGGGCACATCTGTAGAGCATTGGCATATTTTTGTAGCGGCACACTTGATACTCCAGCAAATGGTGAGAACAATAATCTCTATACTTTGGGGGAATCATAGCGGATACTAGGTGTTCTTCTTGTGCTACCATTTCTGCAAGAAACCAATAGTCTGTTTATCATAATAACATCAGTAAAGATCTATGTTATATAACCAAACACCAAATATCTTTCAAGCAGAGAGAACATTATTCATTAATATATTTCATCCTCTATGAAGTATAGTAAAACGATTTACAAAATTATCCTTATAATAAAAGCTACCTCGTTGTTTCCTCTCAAATTGAAACCCTGCCTGGTGATCAAAAGTTGGTTTATCATCCATGTATAAATCAACTTCCCGGGCACTGTATGATCCCATCATTTGGCCCATTGTGGCAATTAAAGAATGTTACAGCTTAGCAAAACTTATAATTTTGAATTATAAATGAATTTTACAGTGGAATACCACTGTAAAATAAATTTGTTATTATCCTTTGGCTTTGGATTACACTTAAAATTTTTGACAATTGACTAGATAGTGATGTCAGTTTTTTACACATTACTTACAAACGTGAACAAACCAAAGTTATGGTATATACCATAGACTGTTGTAAGTTTTTTTTTAATAAATTGTCCTTTGATATTGTCGATATAATATGTATGTATTCACAAATTGCAAACAGAAGCCGATGTAACCGTAAAAATTTTATAGCGTTGTTTTAAAATAAATATAGTCGTTTGTTTAAGAGTGTATCAAAATGGTGAAACTAACGATTGAATTAATTCAAAATTCTATGCAATATATGAATCCATGTCGAGATCGAGAATTGGATCTGAGAGGTTAGAAATTTGGTACAATGTTTTTAGCTGTTATTATATCGATATGCATTCATATATGTATACCTATTTCTATATTGCTTTTCAGGATACAAAATACCACAAATAGAGAATATGGGAGCTACTTTAGATCAATTTGACACAATTGATTTCTCTGAAAATGATATTCGAAAATTAGATGGTTTCCCGCTGCTGAAGCGATTAAAGTGTCTATTTTTCAACAATAATAGGATTGTGTAAGTATCCTATGCTTTCTATTAATTATTATCTAATATCACTAAATTTTTTTTGATTACAATGGAACATTTTTAGTAAAAAAAATGAAAAAAAAAAAACTGTGTGTACTGAGTTGGGAATCATCCCATTAAATGTATTATTAACTATTGCAGAAGAATTGGTGAAAATCTTGAGCAGTATTTACCCAACTTGGAATCACTTATTCTCACAAACAACAATATATCTGAGTTGGGCGATTTAGATCCATTGGCAACTTTGCCAAAACTTCAAACATTGTCATTAATGCATAATCCTGTGGCAAATAAGCAACATTATAGGTAAATAAAGTTATAGTACCTGAATTATTTTACTATTAATTATAAAAAATATAAAGAAATAAACTCATTTGTTGTTTCTTTGCAGAGCATATGTGGCATTTAAGTTACCAGAACTTAGGTTATTAGATTTTAGAAAAATTAAACAGAAGGAAAGAGATGAAGCAACAACTCTGTTCAAGAGCAAGAAAGGAAAGGAAATGCAAAAGGAGATTACGAGGAAAGCGAAAACATTTGTTCCTGGTGGAAATATGCCTGATCCTAAAGTCACAAGTATGTTTTAAAACTAAGTATATTGTATATTAAAAATAAAAATGTAGCATAGAACAATAGGTAAACCATGTAATATTGTTATTTGGGGGTTTGAGTCTGTCTGTGTTATATATTTCCTTCAATCTGAATCATAGTTCTTGATATTCTGCTATCTGATTTTCATTATTCATAAGAATAATACCAGCAAAAACACATAATCAAATTTTGCAAAAGTTTATAACAATCCTTTCTATTATTAATTGTTTAATCAAAATTTATTTTTAGATCTTACACCACAAGAAATTCATAAGATCAGGGAAGCTATTAAGAATGCTTCTTCGTTGCAAGAAGTGGAGCGATTGACAAGAATGCTGCAGGCCGGGCAAATTCCTGGGCAAAAACCTCTACAGGTTCAGTTGCAACAAAATGGACAGCGTAAGTGCATCTCACTTGTGTTATTATTGTTTCATATGTATATATTACATAATTCATTTTATTTGAATATCTGACTACAAAACATAGTCAGATGTTGACTTTATGAATATCATTCTCTTAACCTTAAAAACTGGTAAAACAATTGCAACAGAAAGGTTATCTTTATCATGTAAACAAATTTGTATATATAAAGAAAAACCAAGGGACCTGACAAATTAAACTATTTTTTGCCTTATAACGCAGACAAATGGATTTTCGTTATACTCCATAAGTGTAGATTGTGTATAACTTTAAATAAAGTTACTTTAATCTATATCATACTGGTGTCATCATACATTTAAAAACACAGTTACAGCATAGTATTTAAACATGTACGAAATTCGAGCCTAGTTAGTTTTCAACTGTAAACTGGATATATATAACCTTTAATCAATCAATTTGTGACAAGCTGCACTATGAAAAAAAACAGAAGTACAGCTCAAATCCTTGTACTTACATATGAATATCATCATAAAATGAGTGTGTGATAGGCCTAGTGTAATACTAATTATGTGACGCATATGATTTCAGAAGAGGAAGTTGAAGAAATGGAGACAAATCAAAATGGGCAGTAAATCCTTCATAGTTAAGTATGTAGTTTAATGTTTGGTATTAAGTTTAAATAAGAACAGATACTAAGCGTGATCTTTAAAATAAGTTATAAGCTGATAAGAACAGAAAAGTACACCAGAATATTATGCGAAAAAGGGATACTACACAAGATTTCAGCATTTATTTTAAATAAAGTCATTCAAACAGCTTTACTTTGTTTTCTATTTATTTCCAAAAAATATACATACACGAAAATCACTTTTAAATAAATCGCGTTTTAATCAGTTGAAGTTATTTTAAATATTGAATTTTTATAATCTATACTGTGCTACTTTACTGTTTAATAGTTGATCTTCACCTGCATCTAAGTAAACAGTGTAAATCATAGGGAGCAAAACTTTTCGTCCAATAACCTCTTTGATGGTGGGCCTCTTATCTGGTAGCACAGATAACATGGAGTCAATGAGATCTTGAATGCCTCTCTCGTAGACTGCCGAGTCGATCGGAACTACACTTCCACTTGTTATCACTTTCACCAAGCCAATCAATGACTGAAAGTGTAAGAATATATAATAATAATAGAAGTGAAATCCTGTTTCCCCTCGTGGGGCTTGGGGTCAACACATTTCAGTGTTCGTTTCACTGATCGGTTTTTGTATACAGGTAAGTAGTTGGTCAGACTTCTGTGGCCTGCCCGGCCGAAACAATTTATTGTTTCCCCGGGATTCGAACCCAGGACCTTTCGCGCTTAACGCAATGCTAGGGCGGTAAACCATTTAGCCACAGAGACAGTCTATAATAATAATAAGTTTGGTTCTAAGTCCATGATTCTTTTATATACAAATATAATTTTGAACACATAAATAACTTTAATAAGCTTTCTTACGCATTACTTTACGAAATATTAAACTTAAAAAGCAATTCATCTTGCGCATTTTGACTCTGGGAAATTAAGTATTATATTGGTATAGGAAAGAGAATCTGTATTAGTTTTCATGTTTACATTGAAGTCTAATCTAACATTGTCCTTCCTAAATAAAACAGTTCAAAACGTTCTCTCGAGATTTGAACCCGGGGTCCCTCGCGCGAGGTATCATTTGAACCACTTGTTTTTTGGGATCTACTTTTCAAATACTGTCTATATTTAGGAGTAGTACACATTTAAATAAAACACTTTAACGTTTAAAACATATATTATTAAATTTATTTAAAATATTTTTTTCCCGTGACCAGGCTGTGAAATAATGAATATTTAAATTACTTTTCAGTTTATTGTATATCATTACTTAGGCTGATAAGCCATACCTCAGAATCAAAGGCTCTTCTATGTGTACACATTTCATACAGCAAGCAACCGAGAGCCCAAATGTCACTTTTAGTGTCATAGGGTTTTCCCTCGCAAAGCTCCGGCGCAAGGTAATAGGGTGTACCAATTACAGTGGACGTTTTTTTGGCACTGGAAGTTATTAAGAGTAAAATATGTATATGAAACACTTAAAGGTTTAAAACGCGAAATATTAGTGGAACTTATTTATAATGCTACGTTAGCGCCACGGCGCCCTCTCGATCCTCGGTTTGCATAGCAACTATGAGGACTCACGACTTAATTGCAATAGTACTTAATGAAAAATATCTCACAGATTCGGAAGCAAATAAATTATTTAAAAATAACATTGAAATCGACCAAGTTAAGGCACAAGAATTTTTTTCCAATAAAAAAAGACATCTAATTTTAGCTACAGACACTGGAATTAATGACAATCATTGATAACTTCGAATGAGAAGTAACTAAGAACTAGTTTTAAAAAAAATCAAATATAGAGGGTAAAATTCAACGATGGAACTTGGATCGAAATTAGGTTTTGGTTCTGGAAATAGTATCAGGATTATACGCAGAGTTAAAGTTGGCACCACCCTTCCTATATAAATGCTTTAAATAATTATAAAATTCGGACTCGAATCCGAGACAGACGGCTCAAAGTGCCGGTTCGATACCAGTAAATACTGTTTGCAATAAACACTTATAGTCTACCTCTACTAACTTCTTTTGACTTACCTGGCTAACATTTTCGATATTCCGAAGTCACCTATTTTCACCAATACACCATTTTTTCCAGTTAGTAAAATATTCTCAGCCTTCAAATCTCTATGTATTATATCTAGTTGGTGAATGTAATTAACTCCTAATAGAACTTGACAATAGTAAAATAATATCTCCTGAAACAAAGTTGTGAATATCCTTAACACAACTTAAAAAAAAAACCTAGTCGGAATAAAAGTTCATTTTTCTCTGGATTCGAAACTAGGAACGCTGTACGTATTTCAAAACGACCCTGTATAATAAACCAATCCAAGTTCAAACAAAATAACCCAGTACCTACTGCGTTCCAATTCTTATTTCTTGTAGCGAAAATCCCATGGAAATTGTTTTTTTCGATGATATAGGAGGACAGAAAACCAGAGGTTTGCAAACACATTAGGTAAAATGTCCCAGCCTATAGCTATCGATAGGTATCGACCTATTTTGGATTTGGATATTCAGAAATCCACAGACTGGAACCGAAGTGATTAAACTTCACAGCTTTTATATCTGTGGACGGTGGTTCGTGATTCAGACGGAATTTAGATATTCCTACTAAAAATTATAAATTGAATAAAACACATACGCGATATATTAGTTAAACTTATTTGAAAATGATTTTTAACTTCGGCCTGACGTTTCGGATGCTTTCAAATAAGTTTAACTAATATATCGCGTTTTAAACCGTTAAAGTGTTTTATTTAAATGTGTACTACTCGCGTAAACTATAGACAGTATTTAATTATAAATTGATTAGAAAGATGTTGGAAAATGTTAGAAAAATTGCTAGTATTACACCAACGAGACCGCCAAATTAAAAAATGAGTAAATAAATGATCGGCATTATTTTAAGTAGAAACTATACCTCTTGTTTTATAAGTTTCGGGCATTTCTGATACATGAACTCGGCTAAATTACCATTCGTTGCATATTCCATACATATTAACACATGATTGTCCACATAATGACAATTAAAGAACTTGATAATATTCGGGTGACACATGGACGCTAAAATTTTAACTTCATTTGCACTATCCTGTATGACAAAGAGTACAAAAGTTAAACGATATTTCGTAATGAATTTCGTAAATGAAACAGTTACTAGTTACCTTATGAAGAGCCGGATTATTTATATTCAATTCTATATGTTTGACAACAGTCAGCGATCTGTCCTTGCGCTTTTCGCATAAAAATACACTTCTAAAATACGTACATTTAATTAAAAACCACGTCTTAGGAAATAATATTTAAAACCTTCACATACAGACCCGTAAGTTCCTTGGCCAATGGTTTTTAAAACTTTCAAGTTGAATTTCTTTAATCGCTTATCAGCCTCCATTTTAAACTAATAGTAAATTGTGAAAAGAACAATCTCCACGGCCGATTAATGTTTAATATTCTACCCTCACAACTTCTACGAAAATATTATGTGTAAGTAGTGACATTATTTGCGTCTACCCTTCCAAAATTGAATAAAAAGGTAACACGGTCTATGATTGAAAACATTAATATTTTCACATGTTATTGCAAATGAAGGCACTATATAATTTAAAAATCGAAAATAAATTGAAAAATTTTCGACTCGGGCAGGACTTGAACCGGCATCGTCAGCGTCAGCGTAGAGCAACAGCACGGAACGCTGACGATGCCGGTTCAAGTACTGCCCGAGTCGAAATTTTTTTCAATTTATTATCCATTTTTAAATTATACGGTCTATGATGTTAGAAAAACTTAGACCAACTTCTGCGCCCAAGATAAAACTAATCAGGAGATGAAATAAATGAAATCAATCACATTCTTCCATATCTTTTTATTCTAAATACATTAATATTTTTTAAATCAACTCAAATATTCATTTAAACTATTATAAGCTATTTACTTTAACATACATAAACAAAAAAGTAATGCAAATGTCCAGCATTGCACACTTTTAACACCGTGTTCATAATTATCTAAGTATTATCCAATCATAGCGTAATCATTAGTTCTTCAATCTCCATACTGACGAAACACATTGAGGAAAACCAGGACTGAGATCTATAACACTCACAGAACACAATAATATGATAAATTTAAACATGGCCTCTCACCACAACACTTTTGAAGCATCAAAGAATATCTTCGACAAAGAGCTCGAGTATATATAGATCTCAGTCCGAAATCGCTTTGAAATAATACTAACATGATATACATCTAAACAAGTAGGTAATTCGATAAAGAAGTGACATTCCAGATGCACGTAATAAATACGATCAAGTATTTGTTTGTTCTTTGGTAGTTAGCTAGTTGTAAAATAATTTTATCACGAGAGACTGAAAATTCGAATGTTAAGAGCAAGATTATTAAAATTTTGTAAATCTTTAGCATGGCTGTAGAGTGATTTGACTTTAGAATAAGCCACTGTTGGCTATCTGCCTTCGTTTATTCGAATTTTCATACCTCAAAAGTGTTGCCAGTAACAAAACAAAATCAGAACTAAATAAATAGATACCATAGAATAACAACATTTAAATCTGTCCATTGAGGTGCAAATTTGACTGATATCCGTCCGTTTAATGGTAAACCATCGATATTATAACAACAGCATATTATTAACTAGTTACATTTTAGCAGGATAATATTTCAAGATAGTATTATTATCGGATACAATAATATTACAAATGTTTATAAAGCCAATAGTTTTTTCAATGATAGATTCGTTCATGCGAACTAGAAAATTTTGTGCGACCGTACTGTCTACGTACATCACACAGATCTATGATTTAGAGGTACAAACATTTTTTAAACTATTACGTACGTACAATGTAGATATATTTAAAACAAATGTTTTAAGCGTCAATGTCACTACAACATATATTATTACATATAAGTAAATAAGCGTTTTATTTTGTCTATCGACGTACAAAGGTCTGGACTGTGCCAATTGGGATGTTTTACATTTTAATAATAACATTTAACCAGAAGTCGTTTACGAATTTTCGACTTTATTGGACCTTCATTCTTATACGATTTATATAAACGATGGATCGAAATGTGAAAAAGATAATATCTAACACGATATACATTTTTGACTTTAGAAGACAGATAAATTTGAATAATAGGAACGATCAAATAACCAAGTACGTAAACAAATATCTTTTGAGTACATAAAAATATAGAGACCAGCTCATAGATACCTTAAAATTGTAAACTAAGTCGATGGATACTATGAAATGCAAACGTAATACAATTATTGTTATGCTATTTTCGAACAACTCTGTCAGGAACAAAACAGCGTACCGCAGTCGGTATTCATATCGTCTCACAGTAAGTATTGTTGTGCACTGGGCACAATATGAATATATCATATAATTTTTGTCACTATCAAGAAATTTTACAGAAGAACATATGGTGTTGTGCGCATAGGCTTTGAAAAACTACCGTCTAAGTATTTATACTATTGCAGAACCCGGCCTGTATTAGTTCTCAACTTTAAATCTCAGCAAATTTAGTCACAAACCACGCCATTGTTAGTAAGTCACACTTCACATCTCAAGCCGTTAGTTGCGTCAAAAAGTATTATAAGTCAAAGTTTCGACTAATTTCTGGATAAATAACTAGGTTTATAAGTAATATACAAAAATAATAATTTATTCTAAGAGAAAATAACGGGATCGCCAGCGATCCATAATGATAAATGAGGTGCCGTTAGCTTTTAAAACAATTGAACTAAGTAATACGATGACTGTGTCTTTTTACAGGTGACTGGCCGAATGTACAATATTCAGAAGAACGTTTCAATAAATCCGAATTTGACAATTTTAATCTTACATCACGTTACGTACGTAGAAGATATCTAATTGTAATAATTTCCGTGATTAAAATCATTAGCGCAAACCCGTATTCAATATGAGAAATATGGATGATATGACAATATAAATTACCCTTTCATACCAATTAATAAGCGTTTCAATGTTCTTACATTAATCGACATATTATGTTGTCGAGGACTAAAACTACTTACACGAATTCAATTTTACAGATAGAGACCAGCTACATACAGGGAAATCGAAAGTAACTAAAGAGTAGACTTCTCACATCTTTGGTTAGACAAAAAAAAACGGTAGTTACAAAACACTAAATAACCGAATGTTAAACAGTCATTGGAGGGATATATTTAGTCGTTAGGTAACTCTAAACAACACTGCGTAATAATCACATACAAATAATTATGGTCGAAATGACACGACCTCCGAGTGAATCGTTTCATTTCAACTGTATAAGCGTCAACAAGTGTATTATTATCCAACAAGTCTCGGGCTCCCCGGCCGGCGGGCGGAGTCGCGGGCCACAGCTCGTCTCGGCCCAGCGTCCGCTCTACTGCCAGAGCTTCCACCACACTTGCATTTTCTCAGAGAGTTTCTTACAAATTCCCAACAACTTCCGTCACATCCCACCGTCGCCTTCCCCTTCGCATTCTTCCGAGCCTTCGCCCTCCTCGAGTGTCACCTGGCGCGAAAAATATTGCTATATTTAAATATAATGCATTTCAAAGAAACTGATAGCTTTTATTGCAACACAGGGGTTTGTATATTGTACAACAACATTTTATATGACCAAAATACAAAACGAAACGAACCCATTACTTATTTTTACTAAATTAGGTGCATCGTGTGACGCTGACAAAGAGAATAAACAGCTCATAATGAAATACACTAGAAATACTTACTTGGAAACGGATTTGATCCGGACGATCTTCGTCGACATTCGAGTGAGCTTGTATAGGCGCAGGAGGCGGCGACGGCGGTATCATACTCTGATAGTAGTCCCGGTTTTCTTCGAGAGTATCGAGGATATCTTGTGCGTCCGGATGTACGAGATCCGCCCACGTCTCCCAAAGAGGATGGACGATGTAATCTATGAAACCGACTTGAGACTTCTCTATCGTAGCATTATGCCTGTCGCACATCGGACTAATGTCCATTCCGTGCTCCCTCTCGCGGTCTCCTTGCTGGAAGAACTCTTCCATCAACAGCGCAACCCAACGCTTATATAATGGCAAGGGTTTGGTCGGATTGCTCAGATCGGCACAATGCACGAGATTCTCTAAAACTTGTATTCTGTCAGTGTAATTGTCCAGCAATAACACACCGCTGCCTGCGACTTTCTTCGTCTCGACCATCGTTTTCAGATCTGCGAGAAGGCTCATATGTTTAGACATGTCGGTCGATAGGACCATGTCTATCACCATTTTCCTCAGAGTCTGCCTTTGCTTTTTGTGAAGGTTGACGAAAATGTCGCATCCATCATTTTGCAGTAGTTTGAAGGCTACAGCGAGGTGGTGGTTCTCGAGCACTGATTCGTCATTGTACATGAGTGCTAATTCGGAGCTGGAGTTTACCAAGAACTGGTTGGTAAGTCCCGGGTGGTCTACGTCATGTACGCATGCAGCAAAGAGAGCAGCACATATTTCTATTGGAGTAAATACAGCGTCCAGAGCCGGTGTATTGAGGAGTACGTGCGTCGATTGTGTGACATCAGCAGCGTGTAATGAATTGTGGAAGGGATTGTCTCGGATGTAGTGTTCTTCAAGAGTAACTGCGAACGCGAGGAAAGTTCTTGCTGGGATTTGTAATGTTGTGAGAAGTTCCCGCGATGAAAATGCGGAAAATGCAACTGCAGTGAGGGGACGACCGCCAGATAGATCGCCGATACGAAAGATGTCCACGCCCCAACGGTCGAGCTCTGCTAAACATTTGCCCAGCTCTTCCTCGTGTGGTGTTTCGACGCCATATCGTGGCACTCTTTCCCCGGTAAAACTATTTGTGTGAGTAAGTGTCCTCTTAACACCAGAAATCTGCAAAAAAAATAACATAATTAATGCTTTTTCTTTAAACACAAAAAGGTTCATTTCTGTATCTGCATGAAATCTAATTCCCTGTGCGCCATGGGGCAGACACTTGACACACTTGAGGCAACTGCTCAACTAAGCAGACTCCTGTGTGCTGCTTGACTGAAACTAGTTTATTATACTCTGGGTTTCAACCCAAGACGCAATGCAATGTGCTTGAGCTTTAAAGGTAGATTTCAAGAAGGTACATACGTATTGATTTGATTTCATTACTTACGTGTGACATAGTCGTCGCTGGTCCGCCATGACGCGGCTTTTCTTTTTTCTTGGTGCGCTCAGTATTCTCGTCCACTTGTAACGATGGCAGGTCGAGCTCTTGTTGTTTGTCTGCAAATAAATTGCCTTATCAAAATTGTATAATATAAATATATATTATCGTACTCGTGGGGATTACAATAACAAACTCTTTGGGCGGTACACTGTTGAAACGATAACCTTTGAAAAAACTGCGCAAATAAGCTTTTATTAAACCGACTGCAGTATAATCATTCTTATCATATGATCGAATTTGTGTCACCGCATAACCAATTGAGCAAAGATTCGGTAGATTCAGTGTAACTGTTTCTAGGTCACTTTTATAATAAGTGGTGTGTTATGTAATAGTAATTCATATACATTTTGTGAAAAGCTAAATCGCTACTTCGTTATTATAAGTCAAGAGACTTGAGATAAGCGTGTATATTTATAAACAAACACCGGCTGTAACCGGTCAAGCAGTAATCAACGTGTTTTGGTGAATTTTTGATATTAGAAACTCCTATATCGTTTCTGTTGTTGACTTATTAGGATCCGCTGGCTAATATTGGAAGTAAATATTGCTTTAATATGTTGAAAAACAAAATCATGACGCTCTCGTGTCGCAGATATTGAGGATTATATGTGTAAGATTATATTTTATTAGATGACAGTTCTACGCATTACTATTTACGGTAAACTCGGTCATTTCATATCTAATCTAGGTGATAATGGGTGTGGCGCAGTTACCTGCACTTTAAATAGTAAACATTTACTTTGTTTCGCAATTAATTAAAACGCGATTAAATTATCACAACAAACACTTATGATAATACGTAATCCTTTCTCTGTCTTGGGTTACTCGGTATTGTGAAGTGTTTGACCGTCGTAATTGAAAAGTATAACAGCCGCAAAACATAATTTTATGATAGAGGAACGACATGGGAGTTCACTTGATGGTAGGTGAAATATATACCGTCTATTTAAACGGTATATATTTCGACGCTGTCGACCTATTGGTCGACCTATTGTCGGACCTTTGGCTATCGATATTCGGGAATCCACAGACTGCAACCGAAATTCTCGGATTTTTTCCTGTCGAGTGTAATAACCAGATTTCCAGACAAAATCCAGCATGATTCATAAAAATTAAAACCGGGTGGGAATCGAACCCACGACTCGTTGATTAATAGATCTACTATTAGAACAACGAGCATGTAAAAAATGCAAAACTTAACAAATTTCACCTTGTTGAATTTAAAGACACCTTAATTGTCTGTTGAGATATGTCGATAGAGAAGTAATAAATTTTTGTTAATGGTGCCCAACCAACCGTATAGTTCCCGTTGCTACTGACTATTTATATTACCAACGAAAAAACAGATTAAAAATTTTCGCAATGCAATAAAATGCATAGATTAAAAACCTTGATAAGATTTGTACACCGCTGAACTATTCGCCCCTGAATTATTCTGTGGCGAGCGTTTTCTAGCATTAACTATAGAGTGTAGAGGTCAAACAAATTAAATACGGTTCAGCATTCAGGCCATCGCTGGTAGTGACTGACCTCAATCGTCTATTCATGAAATCATTTGGATGTTATGAAAAACCCAAAATATTTCAGTTAAATAGATCAGTCCTAGAAACATTCCTCTATTATTATTGATAATCCATTTGATATTAGCCCAGTTTATGCTAGTTCACCTGCTCTATTTTTAATAAAAATAACTAAACCATAAAACTGTTATACATTTGAAATGGATTCTTACTTCCGGTTTTAAACCCAACACTGACATTATAGAATGTCTAAATAAGTAAATTATTATTATATAATTCATGTCTTTGTAAATTGTATGTTATTTTTATTTAATTTATGTCAATCCTATCGATTTTCCTTTTTCGAGCCTAGTTATCAGATTTGAGATTAATTATTCCAAAATAACAATCTATTAAAATATCACATGGTATGGTTTGGCTAGGAGCTATTTTGGCTTTGGATATTCGGAAATCCATAGACTCCGAAACGCGATTAAATATCACGGCCTTTCCTTAGGAAGTTAGCGAAGTTGATTATTAGATATACAATAAATTACTATTAGAGTAACGGGCCGTCAAAGTTTTCACTTTTCATAGCCGATGATATAACGGCGTTATAGACATTGAAAGCATAGGGCGGGCGCCATCCGCCTTGAAATATGTGACGCAGTGAGGTTCGATGTTACGTTAATGACGTCAGCAAGTAAATGCTAAAACTATTATTGATCAATAGTTACCTATTTCAAGAATTCACGCAAAGGCGAGTGTTGCTCTAAATCTTTTCTCAAAAGGAAACATTCAAGTAGATTTATAAAAAATGTGTTAATAATTAATTATAATTCTAAACAATTATAAAACAATAAAAACATTAATTCTGACAATTTTTAATACTTAAATTAAGTTTTAAAAATAACGATCTTTGTTTCTAGTTAAGTAGCATTATTGTAATCTGGTCAAAATCATATAAGATTGGACACTCACCCAAGAACGTAGAGCAGATGTACTCCGAGATCTGGTTGCCGGACTTGCTGGACTCCGAGAAGTGGCTCAGCTCCTTGTTCAGCATCCGTTTGAACTGCAAATGGAAGATCTCCATTGAACGTGCTACTTTAGCGGCGCGTCGCTTAATCCATCTAGATGGCGAATATTCTTTGCGCTCGCATTGTCTTTCAGTGCACACACGCATTTTATTACACATTTATTAAGGCTATTTAAACAGTCCGTACACTAGGATCACTATCACCAACGTCCGTTAGTTACAAATGCTATCGCCGTACTGACGTTGCGGTCGCGAGCGCCTCCCCTTAATGTATCCGTCTAAGTCTATATCGTATCGAAGTATATGGTTCTTGGTACGAGATACGCGTCACGGAGCTTCCACGTCAAATTTCCTCTTAAATTCATCATGAAAGTGATGAAAGTTGCCAATTTTCCGCAACGGTAACGGTTGATTTGTAACAGATAGTTTTCCAAATTTTCATTGAACATAAATACACATTTATATGTTTAAAAAGCAACCATTCAAGTTTAAATACATCAAAATTAAGTTAGCTAATATTTTGGCATTTTAAACGGTTCAAAGTGTTTTATTGAAATATGTATAGGTACTCGCGTAAACTACAAACAACACTGAATATTCAACATGGAGTTTTTTAAAAGAAAAAGGTTTTAGCGAAAAGTTGTTTTTCTTATACCTATCGTAGGACTAGATGGTGAAATGAATAAAAGCGAAGCGTGGGCCGTAGTTGAAAATTTTTCAAATAAGTTTAACTAATATACATAATGGTTTTAAAAGTTAATTTTTTAAAAAGCATTTTATTTAGCTTTCACTGATGACATATAAAAGCAAATTTGTGATTCTTAAGGTCTTTAAAATGTACAAGAACAACATCTTAATTTTTAACAACATATACGCGTTATAAGAGATCGTATGTTTTCAAATACATATATCAATAAAGTGCCTTCAATTGTATACCGTTTAGCAATTAACGTTCCTACTTATGAATAACATCATCGACAATTATAATTAAAGTTCAAATGGATACGTTGTCAACAACTCGAATGATTAAATGCTGATGACACTTAAATACTGTAAAATTAGCCACTCTTGACACAATTTCCGTCGACCTTGCCGTGTCGTATCCCACATGAAGGCACTCGGGAGAGGAAGCACCGAACGAGGTTACAACAACGATAGTAATCTTGCGGGTTTCGATCGGATCGTAAAGTGCGGGGAAGATTTCGATCGATCGGCGATAAATTCACGGTATTTATACCTCAAGGTATTTAAAAGTAAACATGCTTTAAAATAATAATGTATAAATGGTATATTGTGGTGACGGGATCGTTGGTCTAATGGTTGCATTGTTGGGCTAATAATTTTTCTGACACACGTTGGACTTCGTCTGGAAATCTGGATTTTAAATGGATTGGTGGTGGTCGGTCAAAATAGGTCTATATGGCTGGAATATTTCACCTAATATCCAGTGAACCCTGTGTTTATCTGTTCTCCTCTTATAAAAAAAATATAGAAAAGTTAAAGCTTCTTGTATTGTTAGGAATCAATGATTTTTATAAACAACGAATAATTTTGTACTAGGAAAATAAAACCGCACTTCGTTTACTAATCACTTATTCATTAATATACAATTCGCACTAGAAAATGTATTGTGCATCTATTGTGCGGTTTAGTGAGTATTAGTGTGTTTATTTGTCTGCAACAAAACCGTAGATCTCGAATCGTACGATTCTTTAATAAACAGCACATCAGGTGACCATAAAAAGACGTGACCGAAGTGGAAAATTACTCATCTTCAAAGCCGTAATCCCCATACAACAGTATTATTGTGTTAAATTCGTGATAACGTCTAATTATAAGCACATCGTCTCAAGTTAACGACACTTATCACTAGAATCTCGATAAACGTTTACAGTTGATATTGTAAAAACAAATCTATTTCTGGCCCGGCGACTGGTCAAAGGCATAAGAGATATTCCGTTCACCGCTTTTTATTCGTCAAACAGAAATACACTTGATAAAAAGCGCAATGGACGCAGTTTAAATGGTTAAATCCGATGACTAACTTTGTGGAAATAAGGTAGAAAAAACATCAGCAACGTCGAGTGGAAATAATGACTTTTTGTATCCTACGATTTCGCTTATAACAAGTTTATATGATTCTTTTTTTTCACCAACGAAAAACAAAGGAAGTAGACACATATTTTTTTACCTCGTATGGTAGATATTCTATTAATTATGATAGAAGAAGACAGACAAGCACAGGGTGCAGTTGTTGGTGGATGAAATACCCAAGCCCTAAAGAAGATGCACTGTGACTTGTTTTGGATATTCGGAAATCCACATACTCCTCTGATGTACGCAATAAGATGTAAAGGAAGAAGACTATTAAACAAATTAAATTGAAAGTTAGGGGGATCTTTCTAAAGACCGATCTCTTTGATAGTCGTCCGTCAAAGAAATCTTCTTAATGAGTACTTATAAGATATATATAAAAAAGTAAATAAGCTTCACATGGGTCACTCATCATCTTAAACTGCGTTCTCACGACTCAGTAAACATCAAGCTGAACGTTGCTTTTCCAAGAGAAATAAAAAATAAAAGTACGTCGCCCATAAATTACGATTCGAAAGAAATAATCTGCTTACCCACTTACAAAGAATATAGTAATGAACATACTTTCGAAAAACCGTTCAAAGCAGAATCAGGGACACCAGAATATTAATATTACATGGCGACATATTAACACATATTTATTTATCACTGTCGAGAAAAGTGGCACACAATGCTCTGCAATTAATGACTAACCACGGGGACAAAAGAAAAGCGATCTGCAAGTGTATATTAGCACAAAGAAATACATAATACAATATAATAAATGGATGACCCACTTACGAAATGAATCATAAGAAAGTGTGTTTCTATGAAGGTTATTTTACTTTCAAATTATATATACTATTTTCGACCTCCTTTTGATCAACTGAAATTCGAGTATCTACGAAATTTTAAGAGAAAATATCTAATGTTTATAAATTGTGAATACTTCGTGAAAAGTGAAAGTTATTGTATTAGTGACTTAAATCGAACCCTCGATACATTAATGATTTATTATATTTCCATTTAATAATGATTATGCAAAATGCTTGTGGTAAAAGTGACCGAGTGCCCACTCACTACTAATTATTGTAATTATTTCTCACACAAATGCAGTCGGAAACTTTAGGCTTAAAATCGTTTTAGGTATGTTTCTTATCGCATTAAAAAATCAATAACAAGGTGTAAGTTATTATAAATTATCGGTTACAGTTATTCATGTAAGTTATACTGGTTTTCTTTTAATTTGTAAATATTTTTTTCGAGCAGATAGTGTTCAATGTATCTTTTGTTATAATTATTTGTATTAATACATGTTTGTTAGTCTGTAATTTAACTTAGACGACCGTTTCCTATAATTTCAAGGAGTCGGTAGGATGCACTTTTGTTTTTGTCAGAATATTTGTAAAAGACACAGCATATAATATATTGTTTGGAAAGTAAGCATAAATTAGAATCAACAGACTTCTTATATGAATAGATCTACGCACAACGTCTACGAACTTGTGTTGTAGCCAAAGGTTGATAAAAAGCATTGGAAACGACAACGATTAACACTACTTACACTTAGCAATTGATTAAGGCCTTGATCCGCATAGAGACTTATATAAATAGAATAAAATATTCCGGTTGATATCTTACATCTTATTATCAATATGTTCATAGGACTGATAACTACAATAACTGTTTTATCTATACTATACAGTTATATTACACAATTTATTTTATCGGTAGGTAACGATTTTTAACTGTTTAAAACGCAAAATATACAACAGTTTTAACTTTAACGACGACTCGACACTTAGGATGCTTTACGGCAGCCATTTTAAAACGTAAACTGTGTTTTATGAAATGCTTATATCATTATTTATAGCACATAGTTTAGTACTTAAAACTATAACAACATGAAAACAATATGTTGTTGACAAGTTATATAACAATATCAATGACCTTTTCAATAAAACAATGCCTGGTATGTCATTGAATAATTTTCCTTTAACAGAATATGATTGGTCATTATTATTATAGTGGTATACAAAATACGGAGAAGACTATTTGGGGCATGAACCTTTACCGTCCGTAAAAACAGCTTAGGTAATACGATATTTAAAAAGGGGGTTTAACACCAATTGTTTAACGGTTTTTTGAGGACGAAAGCACAGCGTTGACTTGATGGTAGCTGATGTTCCAGAGGTTGGGTTTATCAAGTTCAGGTTATAAAGTTGATTGATTTTAGACATGCTGAACCAGGTGAAAATCCAATTCATGCAGGCTCTTTGGTATAAAAGTAGCAATGTGCACATTTTCGTAGTAGATTCTATCCTCACCGGGTCGAATATATATGTTTTTCAAATATCTGGAATAGGTCGTAATGATATCATTATTTCGACCACAAATGATAAAACCGGGAAGTAAAATCTCCGAAACACCAAAGACAGTGTATCTTCTTTAGATGTTTTATGGTTGGGGTATTGAATTTCAACTTGCATCAGTCTGTCCTCCTCCATCATAAAAAGCAATCACATGGTTTTTAGTTAAACGTTGGATAACTGGACCAACGAGCTGGTCAAAATTTGCTATATATCTATAACCATAATGTCGACGGAGTCATTGTGTAGACAATGAGAATGAATAATTTTCTTTTGTATATATACTAAATGAGTGTGCTGACTAATTTAGGAGTAACGACTAAAATTTTGGATTTTCCAACCACCACAGTCACAAGCTTTCTGAGAAACGATAGATATTTTAAAACCGGCCAATTAAAATAAATAAGTATAAGTTATACCTTTTTTTTTTACTGATGGTGTGAATGCCTAATGAATGGCCGACGTTTCGGATGCTTTGCAGCAGCCTTGGTCACGAGAAACGGCTTCAACCGTTAAAACTATTTTTTGATATGTGTATTGCTCTCGTAATGTACAGTAATAGTTTAATTTAATACCGCTTGTATAAACTACAGA